TCTAATGGATAGTGATTCATAAAACACATTCATGAACCAGAGCACTCTTACTAATCCAAGTACCGAATCAACACTCAAGAGAATTATTTATCTACTTCTTTCTCAAGAAGGAATGAATTTCATCTCGTATAATAACATTCTCGGCTACCTATTTTATCATGTCTCCAAAATACAAGGAATATGATTCAGGATATCGAAATCCGTACCGAGTAAATCAAAAGACACAAATCCATAAATAGGAGTTTGTTAAGAACTCAAGATTAAGATCATTCTATATATGACCATCGGTAGACTCAATTAGAATTTCTATGATTAACGGAAATTATTAGAAATTCATATTGTGTCTGTGTCCCTGTTCCACATAATCTCATTATGCGAAATACACTCATTCAATATCTCACCATATTAATAGTGCGGATAGCACCGTTCCATTCTAAATGGGAATGCCATGTATTAATAATGCTTTAATTTAAAGATTCCGAACTTTAATTAAATTCATTATGAACAACATTTTTTATTATTATCCTCAAACATTATCCTCTCATATATAACACTTATATACAATGTTTAAGGTTACATAAATAATCACGGAATTTTTATTTTGATATTCATAAATATATGCACATAAAATGATGAATAAACTCTTTTATTAAATAAATAATAAATATCATATTACATCTCATGCTTCTAGGGCACCATTCCCAACACATCAGGGTTTTGTGTCTTTCTTGGTTCTAATCTAGTATCTTGGCCATCCAAGAAGCAGCATACAGTGTCAACTAGCTGATCTATACACCAAAGCTATTTCAAGTTCCACTTTTGGTCTTATTCGTAGCAAACTTAAAGTAGAAGATTTAGCTACTTTAAGTTTGAGGGGGACTGTTAAGCAGTCTTAGTTATGTTAGATAAATGTTACACATGTAATGTTTTCATTGGGTTAGTTTGTTAGAGTTTGTTTTCTACACTAACTTATGTATAAGTAAGTGGTTGTAACAGAATTAGAGTAATGAGAATTCAAATTTTCTTTCTCACTCATCAATTCCTCTTTCTCTCTCTTGACACCATCTGAGCTTGTTTCCTCACAGCCCGTATGAAGTTCTTATAATTGTAATGTTTGTATAAGATTTTTAAAAATTCAATTATACCCCAAATGTACACTATATCCCATATTTCAAATCTAAGATTTCAAATAAACCAAAAATCAATAATGTCATTGTACATTTTCAAAATTTTGTGGATTATAAACTTTAAAAAGTGAAATAAACTCATTTACAAGCTTGGTTTATTGGAATAAAAAAAAGGAAGAAACATACAAACATTTAAATGAGATAGTTGTACCATTATTTTGGTTTCATTTACGCCTCCTCAAAAAATTCCTAACTCTATGGAGAAACATTGCAAAAGTACAGCGCATAAATAGGATAGCTACTTAACCTTATGTTTGTCTAATTGTTTTCCCCTTCGCCCGTGGAATGACATGAAGTCATGTTTGCTTGATTTTGTAGTAGCACTGTAGGCCCTACAATATGACATCTTTGATGAATTAGATTTAAAGCACTGTTGAGTGTTTTTTTTTTTTCTTTTATTGGAGATGAGAGAGAGTATGTTAAAAAAATACAAATAAAATACAAATAAAATAAAAATAAAAGATCGCGTGAGTTTGATTAATAGATTCGTATCATGATTTGAATTATAATTCGTGATTTGTTACAGTATTTTCTCTCATAAAAAACAGACGTAAATTGAAAATATTTCTGAATCATGACTCTGAATCCATGAACCAAACGTCCACGAAGTTAACGGAATCTGACGAAAGTGGTTATAATAGTGATGAATTGTCTCATTTACCTGAGTTGGCATTTTTTAGTGAGGTGGCATAATTTAATTTGGGGGACAGAGACTGATAACTTCGTAATTTTTTCTGGTTTAACCTACATGTCGAAGGGCACTAATTACTACTATTGCCGGGTTTGGTTTTAAAGAACACCAATCATTAATCACTATTAGGAGGATGTGAATGCAGTCATTTGCATTAATAAATTGAAGGATACAAGAGAAATACACACTTTATTTGCAAAAGTTTAAACATAAGTATAGGATCTCAAACAAACAAACAAAATAATACACGATACATTGCTTCCAATTGCAGGAGCTTGAAACGTCGAAAACTAACCAAAAATTTGGTTGTAAATATACAGAAGAAGTAAAAATAAAATTAAGCAAGCATTAAAGGTAAAATAAGTCTCTATCGCCTTTGGAAGTTTAAGACCTTAATAGCAAAGGCAAAGATGACGGCAAAAACCAGAGCGAACACAACGGAGACGACAGCAACCACTCCCAGGAAATCGTGATCAAATCCGTAATAACGGTCCACATAATTCTTCACCGACTCGCCAGTCTCTCCTATGTTGGTGCTGATGTCACCGTACTGTGACACCAGAAGTCCGTACAAAGTCCACGCGAAGGGGCATGCCCAGTAGTACCACACCCACCACCCCGGCATCCTCTGTCGAAAACAAAAAAACCAACAGATTTAGTTAGTCAAATAGGTTTAACATTAACAACCAACAGATTTAGTTAGTCAATGAAGACAGTGCTCAAACTGACATGATCATGATCAAAGTAAACGCTTACCGGGCGAGGAATAACGAATCCGGAGAAGAGGTTCCATAAGCCATAGAAGGCAGCCGACACAATTTGAGCAATGCTGACGTTTGGCGTGAGGGCCACAGCCATCATGCCGTAGTATGTGAAGTACATCAAGGCGAAGAAGGTGAAGAAGAGGTACCAGAAGAACTTAGCGATAGTCCATTCGAAGCCTATCATCGCGTACACTATGAGGCAATAAACTACCGCCTGGCATACAAGGTATGGAATCTCAACCGCCGTCTGCCCACAAGTTAAGATGTTATTTTGTTATGGATTTGATCAATAAAACTAACCATAGGGCTGTATAGTTTCACATAATAAATTTGGACTCTTTGAAATTTTAAAAAAAAAAATGTACCTGTCCGAATGTGTACGGAAAAGCTGAGTACATGCCGGCTGCTTTTTCTCTATAGAAGACTGCTCTCTCTATGGAAACAACTGGTTGCACAGACATAGCATTTTGGACTCCGATGAAGAAGACCGCGGAATACATAGACCCCATTGAGTTGGTCAGATCTTGTTGCTTCGACCTGCATTTTAGTATTTCCAAGTTCAGATATTGCACACATGAGAAAATGTAGAGTAAGAAACGGGCTAAATAGTACCAAATTAGTAAATATTTAGCTGTGTCACTTTGCTTGAGACTTACGTTTTAGATCCCATGTCCCAGAACATAGTGCCAAACATGAGTGCTATGCCTGTAGTGAACAAAAATCTCACGGCGGTGTAAGGCGGGTTCCGCCAGTAAGACCAGCGTTGTTTCCAGAAGCAAGCCATGCACTGGGTGAGGAATGATCGTGAGAATTGAGTAGGGAAATAGAGGTCCTTCGAACCAGGTGCCGGGGTGCTCAATTCCTTAATAAGATCTTTGTTTCTCCTGAAAACATTGTCAGCAACTGATTAAGCATTTTTCCCTCCCAGATGACATAAACTATTTATGTATTTGCTAATGAATTAAACTGACCTGTATAGATCTGAATTCTGGTACAGATCTGTAAAATCAACCCCCAAAGACATTTCTTGCGCAGGACCAGTGACTTCCAACATCCAAGTCGCAGGGTTGTAACCGTCTTTAATTTTAGCGACACCTTCAATTGACTTCATGACAGAAATGCAAATAAATTAGCGATCTTATGGATAAATATTTGTAATTTTAACTTAAACAAGAAATAAGGATTTGATCTCTTCTTTGCTTCATTGAATCCTACCTCAAAATAGTTTATTAGATGGCAAGAATGGCGGCCTAATGGACCCACATATATTTCTTGTCCTCCTCTCTTCATAAGGAATAGCTGCAAACAACATGTTTTAATTAGTAATCAAATGCAACTATAAAACAGACCATACAAGAAATTAAAAACCAGAGAATTATGAAATACTAAAACAATTCTTTAAATTACCTCATCAAAAGCTTCAAAAATGTCAATGCTAGGCTGATGAATGGTGCACACAACGGTTCTCCCAGTGTCCACCGTGTTCCTAACCGTTCTCATGACAATGGCAGCAGCTCTAGCATCTAATCCTGATGTTGGCTCGTCCATGAATATAATTGAAGGGTTTGCCACTAGCTCAACTGCAATAGTCAACCTTTTACGCTGCTCGGTTGAGAGACCGTTGACTCCGGGCAATCCCACCAACGCTTGCCTCAATGGAGCAAGTTCCACCAATTCCATCACTTCCTCAATGAACATCTGTTCATGTCATGTAATTATCAAGTCAGTTCATGTTGTTCATAGTTAACAAATGCATTGGAAGATAAGATCAAAATAGAGGGTAAATAGAGGTATATTTGGGTGCACCACCAACCTTTCTGGTTTCAGAATCAACTTCAGCCGGTAAACGAAGCCAAGCAGAGTAAAGCAACGACTCATAAACAGTAACATGCGGGGAGTGGATGTCATTCTGCTCACAATATCCAGAAATTCGTGCAAATGTTTCTTGATTCTTAGGGTAACCAGAAATTCTAATGTCTCCATCAATGTATCCGCCGGTTTTCCTACCAGCAAGAACATCCATCAAAGTGGTTTTACCAGCACCACTAACTCCCATAAGTGCTGTCAAAACACCAG